GAGGCACTTTTTGTAAGACAAAACCATGAGGTCAGGGGGACCAGAGCGGACAATACCTCATAAGGGTGTGAACCGTGGTGGTCAGGCTGATCCGAGACGCCGGATGAGTCGATGCCCGGGTCCCGGAGCCGCGCGGGTTCGGAGTTTAAGTCTCGACCCATGACATAAGGCCTTGGCTAACGGGTAGTTAGCATAGCCATGATCATACAATCCTACTAATAGGTTATAGTAGTTAGTGTAAAGCCTTGATTAACGGGTTATAATAGTTAGTAATAGTCATGAGGATAAAATTATCGACATGACCAATGTCATGGGTTATAGCAATGACTGTAACTAATGATAAACTAATGATAATGATGATTTATGATAATGATTTTTAAAGATTGATTCATGATTTGGTTTGGCTACAATATTTAAATGATGGCATATTTTAAAATGATTTATGAATTGATATATTTGATATTGATTTATGCATCTACAAAATATTTGATAGAATGATCTTTGAGATGTTTTGACATTATGATTTGATGAATATTTTTGTAATGATCTATATAGTATCTAAGAAAATGATACTTGATCTGGTAAGGTATGTGAGTCTATTTTTGCTGAGCCCTAGTTTGCTCATTCTCCTTTTTCTTTCTCTTTACTGATGAGTAAGTGATAAGTTCTCTTAGTCTTATGAGAAGCTAGAAGATCAAAATAGAAAAATTATTTAGTTATTGGAGACAATGCTGACCAATGAGATCTTATGAAATGGTTTTGTATTTTTATTAGTTTACCTTTGGATATGTAAAGATGTATCATTAGTTAGATTAAAGGTATAAATTTTACTTGAGAAGATTATTTTATTAAAAAATTTTGGAATGATTAATAAAAAAGGTTTCATATTATTTTGAGATTTTACTTTAAGGTAATATGGTTATGTTGCATTTCGGTCTCGGGGTGTGACACTCTTGATTCATTTCGGTAGCATTTTTTGGTCTCTTATGTTTTTGGATCCACCTGTTATAGATGTTGTTATCAAAAGAGTTCTGGTTACGCAACACTTGTTATCAGTTTGACTTACCAGATGAAGATAACAACTGCAAGATATCACACATTGCTAATTAGCAAATCATCAGTGTACTCTTGTGTTTCCAGTTTGTGTGGTGTCCTCGGACATGGTCCTGAAACAGCACACTGTCTAGCATTTACAAGGATTAACTTCCCTTATCCACTTAATGTGATCCAGGTGTCAGCTTCTCAGAATCATGCCGCATTTATTTTACAGTCTGGAGAGGTTTGTTACTTTGTTACTCATTTCAGTTTGCCAGGTTTTTTAGTTAGCAACGGCATACTCAGTAATGCATTTTGTATAGGAGCCACACATTATATTTCCCTAGCAGGTGATGTCAATTCTTTGTATTTTCTTATGCATGTTAGTGTTTTGATGTGGTTGTGAATGTTTGATCTAGCTGCCTTTAAAAAAGTCAAATGTTACCTGACTTGAATGCTGATAACATCAGTAAGTGTTATGATTAACGGCAAGTTTGCGTTTTTACCTTTGAGTAAATATGTTCAGAGGTAACTGTTTAGAGCTACATCTAGTGAATACCTATTTAACTACTCTTTGTCATGGACATGGTAGCAAATGCAAATTGCACATACATAGGTAACATACCATGTAGCATGCTGGCATGCTTTTCTGATGCATTTTGGTTGTCGGGGTTCTTAATGCATTGACTGAACAATTAGTGCTGTCTAATGAGAGGTTTAACTTAAATACGAATACCTAAGATGCATCTTTCTGAAGTCTAGACTTAATCAGTGTAGTTCTTATTTATTAAACAGGGTAAGTCTTTTAGTGTATTAAGTTCTGGATAAATTGCTAGTATCTTGATTCAAATAAAATTTGATAATTAATTTATGAAAAGGTAGAGCTTACAGAATATTTTCTTGGGGATCTGAAGGGGGAATTTATGGCTTTCATATATTAAATTAAGGGCAGAAGTGAGCTGAATCTAGGCTAGAAAGAGGAGTATATAAATTTACGAGTCTGATTTGTTTATATAATGAGCTATGTTAGAGTATGGATAGCCATCTATGAGCTTGCATTTCTGGCTTCAATGACTGATTAGTTGAGCAGGCCTTCGGTTGAAGTCGATTTGCTCAGGTGAAAAGCTTGAAATTGGCAGACTTTAGCCCAGTTCACGCTTTGTTGAATGAGCTCAGTTGAGTTCTAATCCATCTTGGCATGAAACAAGATCATGTTGCTTGATTGTTATATAGTGCTGTAAACATGTTTTCTCATTTTTTAATATGCTTTGTGATCATTGCATTTAATGTATATAAAATTGTACTGTTTTGGGTAATGTTATATGTTATACACCCAAATTCCTTGGCGTCACAAGTTTGTGGATGCATGCATAATTTATAGTTTGTCAACAATGAAATACACATGTGATCAAGTTATCAAGTGGTTGCCATAACCATACTGTGACACCAATTACTTATGCAGGTTTTCACATGTGGAGACACTTCATTTTTTTGTTGTGGCCACAGAGATACAAGCCGCCCTATTTTTAGACCAAGGCTTGTCGAAGCAATGAAGGGGATTTCTTGTAAACAGGTAGACTGCATATAACCCTTGCTATGGTGTAACATGTTACTTACAGTTTTACTTGAGAGTGGTAGCAGCTTGTTCTCTGGGTTGTGCAATAATTGGATCTTTAACTTCTCTATATCACGAGTTTGACTGACCAAATCTTCTTTTTTTTTTTTTTTCTAACTTGCCCCCATGCACATTCAGTAGGCAAAAACAATGTAATTTTGTTTGACTCTTTGATATTTATAATGAATGTATTTTACTCAATCTAATTTGTTCTTCTGTCTAGGCAAGATGACTACTCTGTGAAAACTTTTGCTCCGTGGAAACCCTTTTCAAACTCTAAGAAAGTTTGAGGCGCTGAGGGAGTTATTTGTTGTATAAGTTCAGTGCTTGTGTTGGTCATGGCTTTATCAACTGATATTAATTTTCCCTGCAGTTCACTGGTTTCTGGACCTACACCTGCTTTGTTGAGTATCTTAGAAGTAGACTTAGTGAGGGTGAAGGTAGATTTATTTTCAATGCACATTCAACATAATATCCTTTTAGTTTAGTCTTTATCTGGCTTCTCTCTTACATCCTCCTTGCGGCTCCCGGTGTTTAAAATTTTGATAAAACTTCAAATTGCCATGATTTATGGTTCCCTAACATATCTTATTTCCAGTAATAATAATGAAGCTTTTGTTGTAGATGAAGCTAAAATTCCTGCCAAAGAGGAAGTAGTCACTATGGCAGTTCGATTGTCTCTCACTTCAAAGGTATTTCCTTTTTCTATATCAACTTAAAATTTTGTTTTGACATTTGACTCTGATCTTCTATCAGAGTAAATTGTCTTTTTAGCTTGTGATCTTATTATTCTGGATGTAGAACCTAAGAGGTAGTTTCAACTATTACTAACATCTACCCCTGTCAGAGGATATTGGCTGATACTTTTCTTTTCATTGGAACTTGGTTTGCATTACTGGATGCATGGATCCAGAAAATGAAGTAAAAAATATTATATGCTAAAAAATATATATCTGTGTACTGCCTTTGATCAGTAGCTGAGGGTACAAATTCTGAAAAATCTAAAGAAATTGGTAGAACAGAAAGAATGAGAGAAAGAAGAGAACAAAGGAGAGATTAGCAATTTTCTTGCAAATTATGTGTGAAAAAAAAAAAAAAAAAGAAGCCGAAATGTTGAGATTCCAATGAGATTAGTGTTGTAATAGCAGTAAAATGAGTGAAAAAATAATAATATTATTGCTATAATTATTATTGTCGTTTCCATTTTCAAGGTGTGGACCAAGCAAGTGCAGATGATAGGTTTGATGTCTACTAGATTACATATGCAAAAGACCAGACAGCATTTTAATGTCTTCATTTTATCATGTCAAAAAAAGGGGCCCAACAAAGTTCAAATTGGTTTAATTCTAATTTGTTCATAACTGATTGTACACGGTATCATTTCTAGATACATCTACTAGTACTTGATCCTTTTTTTTTTTTTTGTGTGACAAAATGAAGTTCACAGTGTTGATTTTTCTATAGAAACCAGATTTCTGTAGAACATTAAGTTCAGATTTCTAGTTCAAAGGGGAACAAGCTTCATGTTAAGAAGTAAAACAGTGAATTCAGTGAAAAACTTCTGATTAATCGAGTTACAGTTCATAGAGAGACATGTTTGTCTTCACTTTTGACTGTACTGGCACCTACTTCTTGTTCTTCTGGCTTCAAGTTCTCTTAGGATAGCCTGGCCCGTCTATGTTTGCTTGCATTTTACCCATATCATCTGTTAATCCCTTTCTAGTCCAATCCCTTATCAGCTGCTTCTTCAGGATTCCTGAATCTTCAGGATATGATGCGGTAGAGAGGAAACAATTCTGAATTTTGGGATCATTCAAACGATCGTAGCTGAATCTCAATTGCTGATAGACCATGCCTTTGACATCCACATCCATGACAGTCTGTACATTCCTTTTAAATTCCTCCATTGCATTCCTCCATATAGGAAGGTTATATTCACCTCCATATAGGAAGAAAAATTGTCCAACACATCATCTAAGATTAACATACACCTGCCCTTTTGAGCCAATATTTCAGATAACATCCCTGCTCTGATTGTTTCATCTTCATCTTCTGAAATAACAGGATTAATTGCCTGTGCAATCTTATTCTGTAGTTCAATAGCACTACATTTCCTTGATACAGTGATCCATACAACAATATTAAACTGGTTTGCATATTTTAAGAGTTCATTGTTGACAGGCTTGATAAAACTTGTTTTCCCAACTGCTAGCATTCGAAAAATTCCAATCTTTTGAACCTCATTATTCATCAAGTATCCCAACATTTCTTTCCTTTTAAATGCCGCTGTTTCACCAACTAAACTTGATATCGGCAACACCTGTCCCATCCGCAAAGGATCACCAACAACCTAACCATCAGAAAATCTACCCTTTTCAATAAGTTCTTCAACTTCTTCCATCTTCTTACAAACATTTTTTCTAAGGAAAGCACGTGAGTAAAAGCTGGTAGGTCCAAGTGCGTCTGATTCTAGGTTCTTTATTTCACCATTTACCCTTTCAACATTTTCCAACCATAGCTCAACCTCTTTCTTGACTTTCTTTCTTGGATGCAGCTCGGCTTTAATTCTTGATGCTATGTCTTCTTTCTGACCATTTAGTTCCTCCCTTTTTCTCTTCAGATTATTTACATTCTGATCAAGGCCTGTAGGGAATTTCCAGTGCTTTCCTATAAAACCCTATATTGTATTTCCAGCTTCAAAAACTTCCCTACTTGTTCAGTAAATTCCCTGCATAACACCCAATATATGGCATTAGAATGCTTTGTCATGACAATTAAACTTTAGAAGAACTTAATTATGTAAACAAATATTTTAAGAAGCCTATTATTGGGAAAAAAAAAGTTGGCCTTTTGCTTAGAAATTTAGTATGATTTCTGATTAGTACCTCCATATTTTGTGACTTTTGGGAACAACTTCTTCATTTTCTTATTACTACTTGTTAAAAATAATTTTTCATAATGTAATTTAAAGAGTCCTACTCATAAACCCCAGGCCAATGCTGCAAAAAATAGTAAAAATAACAAAAAAGAACAGTGTCAAAGAAGTCTAAATAGTCAACATTCACAACCAAAATTTCCACATACATGAGATTTTTTCAATGATATATCCATTTAAGACAATGAAGAATCTTATTTGGGATAGAGATATAGAGGTATGCCTGGTTTCTTGAGGAGAAACCAAAAGAATTTGAAATTTCCACAGCAGTTTTCATTTTTAACTGATTGTAGCAACATATTCCCAAAGTAGAACCCTTTTCAATTATGTTCCTGCAACTTCAGTTTATACTACATATTTTGTTGACTTAAGTTCCCCATCTAAACATTTAATTCTAAAAGATTACATGGGTTTTTCAGTTCATAATTATTTGTTTGATCAAAATATTCATGCATCTTGAGCATGAAAAGACCAAAAAATTAAAGCATATGAATAATACAAAACAAGTTAATAGCAGCGCAGACCAGAAAAATATTCCATGAACAAGCATGAACCTTCTCACAATTCATAACAGTCAAAAGAAACATAGTATTGGAAATTAAAGTTACCTGATACTTGAAGAAAAGGCCCTGTCAATAAAAAGAAGCAAATTCGCTTGCCAACAGTAGAACATTGATGGAAGAGGTATATAGACTGTGGAGCAAAGGAATGGAAAAGTAGGAAGAAATACCAAGAAGAATGTGGGAAGTTGCCAAGGAAAGTTCAAATGTAAAGAAGAGAAATGACCTTTATTTATGCCAGTCAACTTCATGGATACTGTCATGAAGAAATATTAAAGCAAATTGAAGCGTTCGGGTGAATTCCACATTCCTTATTTGTTGATTTGTATGATATAATACAAATTTGGCTCTTGCAGGGTCAAATGTCAACTATTTTGTTTATTTTTTATTATCTCTATCATGTCCATGTGTTCTTTTCCTATGGTTAAGAGTGTTTCATGGGGGAAAGCCCAACTTGCTTAAGGTTAAGTATAAAGGCCAGCCAATCTGTAGCTTTTCAACTTCCAAATTAAGTTCCATATAGTAATTCCCTTGGGCTGTCTATATAAATATATATATATTTATATTGCTCTTTTGGTGTAAATATAAGATTTAGACGAAATGAAATATATGTACTTCAAAAATTTTGAGCAAAGGTAACAGAATCTGGCATGTTTTCAATGATTAAATACGGAGAGAAATTCATGACATGTTTCTATTAACAGACAAGAAACAAAGTACAACACAGACAGACAGAAAGTACAGAGCCAACGAATATTACACTAGGAAACATTGGCAATTCCACAGTTGGTGAAGATGATTTAAGAAAATTCACAAGAACATAGATGTTCTGCAGAGGAGTGAAATTTACAATTCTTCTTCAATCCCAGAGTGAGCAATTTCCTTTTTAGTCTTCTTAGCGACGGTCTTAAAATTTTGGAACAATATGTTGAAGTGATATGGTATCTAGGAAAAGATAAGACCAGAAAAGTCATCAATTATAAGAATATAAAATATAAAGGAAAAAGAAAACTAGGCAAAGAGAGATTGAAGATAAAGGACTTACAACTATCCTTAAGCCTTCTATTCTACAGCTTGAATTGGTCTTGCTTACAAAAGAACCAAAGAAACAGTCACCAGGGTCTTCATCAGGCATTCTGACTTGACAGGTAATTCAAGGGAGTAAAGAATGGCAAATGGTTACAATTGAGAACTTGAGAAGCCACCATTTCCTTCTATTTTGCAGCAGCATTAAGTTGGTGACAAATTATCTTTCACGTGGTACAACATCTAGGGAAAGACAGACAGAAAAAGCTTGAAATTAATATATAGGAAAGGGAAAAAATGGTAAGAAATAAATGAGATTGAGTGATATACAAATGATGAAATGAAGGACTTGTAACTGTAAACTTGTACAGCAGTTAATCCAACAGCTTACTTCCGTTATGCTTCTAACCAAAAGGCTGGAGCCATAAGCATGTCATGAAATAGGTTACCAAACATCAGGGGAGGATGGCTAAGTTGATCCACATATGAACTATTTTGCCAATATTAGGAAGAGGACACAAAAGGCTACGATCCTAATTCTAACTCCAAATCTGCTAATCAACAACTAAACTAACAATCAAACCACCCCCTCCCTGCCCTTTCCCAAAAAGTAAGAAAAAAAACACTTGGTTTTGAAGAAATTATTTATAGCTTCATACATGGATCTTCAAAGTTATGGCGGAGATCAGGAAAACCTTTCATCTTATTTCAAAATGTGCTTACTTGTTTATATGAATTTCAACAAAGCATTATCTGCATAATAGCCTTTAAATTTTCTTATGAAAAAATATTGAATTCAAGAAAGCAATATAAGACTCGCCAAAAAAAATTCAAAATATTATAAGGAATTTCCATAGAAACCTCGATGAATAATTTCTGAGAAAATTCTTTTATCAAAGATGATTTGGAACAGAATTCAATTCAAACACACGAGGAAAATATTTAGGGAGCTGATTATGAAAGTGCCCATACAACTCGTACAAGAACAAGAATTGTTTGATGTGAGCTATTTATGGAAGGATAACAACTAATTAAGGCAAATAGCGAAGGAGACCAATTAATGTAAAAAGAAGAAACTGTAGATAGATTGTGGTGCAATCAATTTTTATGCATGGGTAATAGCAGTATCCTATTCATGAAATTGTAAGTGATATTCAAATTCAGTTTTATGATAAAAATCATTTCATATGAAATTAAACATTTCTGGCCAGACCAAGAGGTCGAATCATAGCACTGACAAGAGTTTGAAGAACCCCAATGTTAGCCATCACCATAATGAGGTGCTAAGATCTCCTGGAAAACTGAAAAGGCCAGCATGATATTAACATATAAGAAAATGAAAATGGAGAGAGATTAAGAAGAAAGAAGAAACGAAAGTATTAGAAATAAGCTACCATTGTGGTCAAGCATTTGATCAAATAATTTCCTCCTGTCTCAAAAAAAAAAAAGAAAAGTAACAGTGAACACCGTAATGAGCAGACATTTTAGCAAACATGTCACTTCAAGTACTTAACATAAGGCTCCAACAGAGACTTGGCATTTGGCTGGTCCAATTCAACCAATTCCCATAGCTGCTTGGGAACAAAAATTCCATTGAGAGAAGGAGAGGGAGATGGTTGGCCATCATCACGCAGGGGAAGACTCAGAGGTATCCTCTTTAATTGTGGACAATTATTTATATAAATCTCCTCAATAGAATCAAAAACCATTACTCCATTTGCACTACAAATGCTCTTCAATTTTGGTAGCCACGACAATACCAATATCCTTAATATGGGAAGAGCAAAATTGATGGCGCTTATTCCTTCTTCCTCCGATTCTGATTCTGGTGCTATTATGTCTTCCATATCCTCGCAATCTTGAACCCATAAGCTTTTCAAGTTTTGGAGGTTCTGCAAGACCCAACTGGACCAGAACAACTTCTTTATATTTTGACAAGAATCTATGCGAATATCAGAAAGAGAAGAAAAAACATTATGTGGCGGTAAGATGAACAGCGAGGAAAATGCCTCTTCTTCACACAAATCGACAATGCACTTCCAAATTCCCAAGCCCTCAACATCAGATAGGACCTTAATACCATCTGTGCAGATGTTACAACTTAATTCAATTACCTTTTTCGGCTCTGATGGAAAGTAAAAATGTGGTCGTAAACCCACAGAAATGTAGTATCGACGAGGCCCTTCTGCTGGAGCATCCAAAGCTTTGATATAATTGTTCAACTCATTCAAGTCATAAAAACCCCCTTCAAAGAATTCCAACTTCCTTAATCCACCTATTTCCTCTGCTCTCACGAATCTCTCAACTGTTTCTTCGTCATTCACTATTGCTAAGTGCTGAAGTGATGTGAAATTTGCCAATAATCCATGGGCCACCTTTGTTATTCTCGTATTTGCCAAATCAAGATATTTGAGATTTACCAGCCTTTCCAACCCATGAGGGAGATCCTTGATATTTGTTTCTCGAAGGACTAACTTCTTCAAAGCTTGAAGTTTTGAAAAAGATGGCACCTTCCTTAAATCTTCACAGTAACCAAGCAACAATGTAGTGAGAGTTTCCACATTAGAGATGGAATTTGGCAAACTCTTAATAGGATTCCAAGAAAGATCAAGAATCTTGAGTCCATGCATTTGATCAAAGAAACACTCTGGAATACTCTTTATATCGCAATGGGACAACAATAAGGTTGTGAGCTTTTGACACCTTGGTGGTGGCATTTGGGATGGAATTTGTAATCCCCAATTCAGCATCAACGATACCTTCTCCAAATCTTCATTCCATTCTCGCACATTTGGTATCTCTTTCAATTGCAATCCAGCTCTCACCAAGAATCGTGGCCTTGCACTTGTGATACGTAATGCCATGTCCCTCACTATGTCATGCAGCTTCACAGCACGATCTGGATGTCTAGTACCGTTTTCAATCAAGCAACTGTTTTTTAGTTTATTCAATATGGCATGACCCTTGTCAACCTCTTTTTGCATGCTATCCATTTCTTCCACAAGCCCCTCCGCAACCCAAAGTTTTATTAGCTCATGTGTTTGTATTTCCCAATCTTCAGGATATAATGCACAACAAAGGAAACAATGCCTCAATTTTTCATTGTGTAAACGATCATAGCTGAACTGAAGCCGTTGAAACACCTTCCCTTCCACGCTATTCACACTTTCTACATGTCTTTTTAATTCATGGAGTGCATTCCTCCACTCATGAATGTCCCGTACACCCTTCATGCTGCTTGCTATTGTAACAATAGCCAATGGCAAACCGGCACATTCTTCAGCAACAGATTCCACAATGGGCAATAGATGTGGGTCATTCAAAACATCTTGACCTACTTTTTGTGAGAATAGGCTCCATGCATCTGGTTTTGAAAGAGTAGGCATTCTAACTTCTCGACAGCCCAAAAAGTGGCACACATCTAACAACCGAGATGTTACCAACAATTTACTCCCATTAGAAGGCTCGGGGATGCCTACGTCTTCAAGAGAAAGTTTGTCCCATAGGTCATCCAAGATTAACACATACTTGCCTTTTTGAGACAACATTTCATTTATGAACCCTGCTCTACTTGCTTCATCTTCAACTTCAAGAAGGGATACTTTCATTGCTTTTGCAATGCTGTTTTGTAATTTAAAGATGTTCATCTCCTTTGACACGGTGATCCATATCACGATATTGAACTTTTCAGTCTCCTTTAAAAGTTGGTTGTTTACGAGCTTCATGAGAGTGGTTTTACCCACGCCTCCCATTCCCCAAACTCCAATCTTTGAAACACTATCATCCATCAAATATGCCCAAATTTCTTCCATGCAAATCTTTGCAGCATCACCGACCAAAGTTGTTGTAGATAGCGCTTGTTCAATCCACCCAAGGTCGTCAACAACCAGGCTATCTTGAAACTTACCCCGTTGAAGAAGTTCATCAACTTCTCGTATCTTCTTGAAATAATTTTGTTGAAGGTCTTGTATTTCCTCATTTATTCTTTCAACATCTTTCAACCATAACTGAATTTCTTCCTTTAGTTTCTTTCTTGGATGCTGCTGCTCTGCGCTCATTCTGGACTTAGTGTGAGCCTTTAGTCTCTGCAGCTTTCTGTTTAGGTCATTCACTCTCTCGTCAAGGTTTATTGGAGTGTCACACAATTCATTGATCTCGCTAAGAGAAAAATCCATGGCCGCAAGTCCCTGCGTATGTAACAACAAAATATGTATTAATGGACTTGATATTATAACCATGTAAACAAATGCAGTAAAAGAATATCCATCCAAGAAAAAGAAAATGTTTACCCGGTTGGCTTCCAGATCCTCATGGCACTTGTCTTGATCTGGTTCTATATCCTTGCCATCATGATCAACTCTGCTCCCCTTTTTGTCATCCATTGCTGTCTCATAAGAACGTGACACTCCAGTACTGTGGTCCACTGACTTTTCACTTACATTGAGTGAATGTTCGACATCTGTAAGTGCTGAAAGAGCAGGAATTTCACAATCATCATCAAAGTTGGAGCCATGCTTTGAACCCATGAGGATCATAATAATAATGATCAGATTGAGGAAACAGAAAACCAAAAACTCGCTCAGGCCCAAGTCCAGGGAGCTGTGCCCCACAAATTTAACTTCTTTTACGAAATAGAGCATCAAATTAAGGCCCGATGTCAAACGGTTGAAAGCAAACATGAAGTTTGTGATGCAGAATAAAGCAATCCCATAATATCTACGAAAACAACGCCACCAACACCAAGTTTTTCCTTCCCAAATAGTATAGTAGCATTCTGTTTCCTTCAATGTCTTGCAAAGATAGGAATCTTGAATGTCCAGATTAAGAGTTATTACCCCTAACGAATGGAAAGACGCTGCCACTATTTTGTCATCGTAGGAAAATCTTGAGATAATTCCATTTGAACTTAGCAACTCTGCATCGTTAGAATGTGTAATGAGACTACTCATGAATGAGACATAAGCAATCAAATCTTTGGACCTCTGCTCAGAACGATGTTCAAAGGCCATGCAGTTAATAAGGATTGCGAGAAAGAGTTCATTGATGGTTACAGGTGGGATTTCAAGTACTCCATCCTTGAAATTGATATCTGTGAACCTATTAGCTCTTCTCGGCCTGAACTCTATACCTGATGATTGGAGTTCCATTGCACTTTTCATTAAGTGAACTGGAGGCGGAGGATCACATTGTTGTTCAAGTTTGACTCCCATTGGGATTGATGGTTCAGATTCCTTTAGCTTTGGAATAGTCGCAGGGGTTTCTAAAAGGATATCCTGGCCTATCTTTGAGACGCCTGCTTGGTTTCTCGGATTGATTTTCATGAGAAATGAGTGAACTGATTTTGGAATGACCATTGTTTTCAAATGGAGTGAATTTGAGACGGTGGATCTGCTTGATGGGCGGATAGACTCCAGAAACAAGTCAAGTAAATGGTTGGCTTCCAAATGGTTGGACTTGCAGCTGAAACCCATGGATCCAGGGAAGGCTAGACTGATAAATTTCAAGGCCATCGTGTTTATAGAAAATGTTGCTGTCCCTTCTTTGCTCTCCGATGAATCAAACAACTTCTCTAAGACAAAGAAAGGAATTTGGTTCTCTAGCACGAGCAGGTCTTGAACCAAAATGGGGATCTTCCACGGCTCAATGGGGAAAAACCCATCTTCAGATTCTTCACTCCTACCAAAATGGCGTAGGACCTCCAGTATGAAGCAAGCGTCAACTAACATCATTTCAACGAAATCGATACTGGACATTGACAAATCCTCGGAGTAGCATCTTCTCGTACGCCGTTCCAGTGTCATCATATCCTGGACATAGAAGCGTAAATCTTTGCCTTGGTTTCTTGTCCGAGATATAAATTTCTCAAGGAAGAAGTACTTGTTATTTTCGAGTGGAAGGCTTTTGCCCCTGTGATAAGGGCCAATAGAAACCAGCTGAGGCTCCTGGAAATCTAATTCAGGATAAGGAGTTCTAAAGATGCAGGGAGACGAGCTATTACAAGATGAATCTCCATGTTGATTGATTTGCTTCTCCCCAATCTCAAGTGAAGGTTCAGAATTTGGAGGGATGATTTCACCCTCACTTTTGACATGACGAATCTCCCCGTGTTCAGTTAGATCTTCCTCCGCAGACGAGCTATTACAAGATGTTTCTTCCTCCGCAAGTAAAGCTGTTGTAGGTAATGCTTGTCTGCCGCACCCGCGGTTGTCATCTACCAAACTACTATGAAACTGGCCCTGTTGAAGAAGTTCTTCAGCTTCTTGCATCTTCTTGAAAACATTTGCTATGAGGAATCCACGTGAGACAACACTACCTTCATCAAATTTTTGTTCAAGGTCTTGGATTTCGCCATTTATTGTTTCAACATTTCTCAACCATAACTCAACAACTTTCTTAGGTTTCTTTCTTGGATGCAGCTCTAGGTCTCTGCCCATTCTTGACTCTATGTTTTCTTTTAGAGCGTTTAGTCCCTCCAGTTTTCTCTTAAAGTCATTCATTTCCTCAACAAAGTTTGTTGGAATGTCCCCTAGTTCATCCATCTTGCTAAGAGAGAAATCCATGGCTGCAAGTCCCTGCGTACATAACAACAATTTTATATATCATGAACCATTTTGATGGACTTTATAACCACATAAATAGATGCAGTAAATTTTTAAGCTGCATATTTTAGTTAGACAAGTTGGCTTTAAGATGTGAATGGAGATATATTGTTGAATAAGAGAATCATTACTTTTTTATCCCTTTGTAAATTAGCATTAGTATTTAGTGAGAAAGACTTAAATGAAGTTCCTTAAATGAAGTTCATAAAACTCTTTACTAAAATGATTAAATAAAAACTAAAATTTAAAATCAAATTTGATAAATTGAAAGATCTCATTACATAAATCAAGTATGTAAAATTTGAAAAAATTTTAATAAATTTTGATATATATTTTTAGTAAAAATATTGACAAAATTTTTACTATGAATAAATATCGATTAAATTTAAATTATAAACAATATTTTTAATAATTTTTTTTTACATATAAATTTTCGCATCGAACTCTATCAATCTATGGGTCCTACTCTTAAAGCCTTGGCCTTAAAATCTAGTAATCTCTTATATACATATCCATTTTCAATGCAATACTATTATTATTACCAAAACCGATAGCCAAAGTGATTAATTTCATCACATTGCTAAGCTTGCTTTTTATCTGATAGCTTGATCATAATATTTACATTACTAACAAGCCAGAAAAATAACCAAGTTAAAATGTAAATATTAAACAATATTTGTAGAAAACCAGTATCACTAATCGAAAAAAAGGAGTAGCATTAATCAAACAGAGAAGAGAAAACAATCATGACAAGCATGAAAGAGAAACCGAACATGGAAAGTACAGGTCGATTATTTGCGTAAAAGGTGGGCAGATATAATGCTCATGATCGGGTTTTCATGGATTTCTGATTTATTGTAATACCCATAAAAAGAAAAGGAATATTTTAAATATTTTATAACTGAAGGGAGTTTTTAATAAAAGTTAGAAAGGCCAAAGACTTGTTAATAAATAACTCAACTTTTAATAAGGTTAACTTATACTATTATTTTCGATCCACGATTGAAAGAAAATAAAGGCCTATTTCTCTTTTCTTTCTTATTAAGAATTGACAAGTCAAAAGATTTCAATTGAAAGGAGAAAACAAAATCTATAAAGAGAGTTATCTTTCAAAGGTGAGTAAATAATTTCTTTTAATTTTTGAAAAATAATATTGATTGTTAAGTCTTGAGGTTTACTTGTAATCGAAAAACCCTAAAATTTTAAGAAATCCATTATTCCTCTTCAAGATTGATTTGGGCAAATCATTAAAACTTTAATTAGGGTCTAACAAAGTATTAAAAAAATTTAGTAATGTGATTTTATTGCTGTAAAAATAGGAAATAGAAATTTTATGGGGTTAGAAAAAATTTTTCTATTTCATATAAACTCTGATGTTTGTAATGATGGATTATGATAATATTCTGTATTAAAGGATAAATATTGCTATGATTATTATATATCATTGAAAAGCTTGCCAAATTTACTTTCCAATGAAATAAATGGGAGTCAATTCTGAGTTTTATATGAAAAGTAGTTTAATTTTTATTTAAGGATGTACAAGCTGCCTAATAGTAGCAGCAAATAGGACTTATGAAATTTCTTTTAATTTTTATATAAGGAATTATGTATTGAGCCATACATGTTTGAAAATGTCATTAAGTCTACTTTCTAACAAAATAAGTGGAATTGAATTCTATGAATAAATATGTAATTTTTATTAAAAGGTATACATGCTATCTGGCAGCAGCATATGACATGGATTGCCAAATTTATTATAATTAATCTACAAGGAATTACAAGGTGGGCCATAAATGGGTAGAGAGCTTATCGAGTCTAGTTTTTAACACATTAAAGAGATCTTAATTCCAATTTAGATATATTGAGATATCATCATTTTAGTGAAAAGAGCTCAGGCTACTAGAATTAATTAGTTAAGTTAACTTTTGTATAACTTAGTTTTTTAGTATATATGGTCTCAAAAAAGTTGATTAATTTATGATATTTTGAAATAACCTTGAATAGGCCATCAATTATTTCGGAAAAAAAACTAAGTTGTGAAATTGAAAGGAGGTAAATAAAATATCACACACTTTTACTTGTTTCTGAAACTACATATGTATATATTTCTAAATGAGTAAATGTTTTATTTTCTTATTTTTTATATATAAAAATAGAACCAAACATATGATTATTTTATGTTTTGCTATGTAAATGATGGATCATGCTTATGAATGAAATGAGAAAATGATTTAGGTTTAGGGAACGATTCTATGATAACTACGTTTTTACATCCTTAAGAAGTGAGATCATCGATATCAGAACTAGTTCTACGGCCCTGGCTAATGAGTTATAATAGTTAGAATAGCTATAATTATATAGCCCTGCTAACGGGTTATAGTAATTAGCATAAAGCCTTTACTAGTGGATTATAATAGTTAACAATGATCATGATGATGAAATTATTAATATGGCCAATGTCATGAGTTATAACAGTACCGTAGCTAATGATAAATTAATGATAATGATAATTTATGATGATTTTTAAAGATTGATTCATGATTTGGTTTGATTACGATATTGAATAACAACATATTTTAAAATGATTTATGAATTAATATATTTAATATTGATTTATAAATTTACGAAATGTTTGACAAAATTATGATCTTTGAAATGTTTTTGATATTATGATTTGATAAATGTTTTTGGAATGATCTAGATAGTATGTATAAAAATGATACTTGATCCAATAATATATGTGAGCCTATATTTGTCAAGCTGTAGTTTGCTCATTTTCTTTTTTTTTTTCTTTTACAAATGATATGAATGATAAATATGATTAGTCTTGTGAAAAGCTAGAAGAATCTGAGTAGTAGAGAACAACTTAGTGAATAGTTTTTTATAAAGTATTGTTTTTTTCTTGTAATACTCAACGTTGACAATTTGAAGACTTGTTATTTAATTGTTTTGTAGATATTAAAACTTCTTGAGAATCTTAGTTTATTTGAGAATTTTTCAATAGTTATGGAATAGGTTTTGTATTGTTTTGGAGTTTTACTTCAAGGTAATATGATCGTATTATATCTCGGTCTCGGGGGCATGACATTTATAATCCAAACTTTTCAAAATTAAAATTTAGATTTTATAACAATGGCTAAGCGTTTTGCTACAATTCTATAGCCTTTTATCTAATAATGCTTGATCTTAATATCATGGGCTTAATGAGACCATGGAAAGGATTTGACGATGTGATATACATTTGTTTATATATATACTAATTTTTTACATGTACATAATACATGTATAATTTTTATTTCTTAAAAATCAATTCAATAAATAATTTTTTATACATTCGAAATAATAATAGTAATAATAATAATAATAATAATAATAATAAATGTTAACAATTTAAGCTTGATTTTGATATATATAACTTTTGATATAATTTTGATTTTAATAACATTTGATATGTTTTGGTACCCGCAGTTAAAACTTTCATAGTCTTTGATAAAATTTTGATAACTTTAGATACAATTTTGATAACATTCAATATTAGTTTAGTAACTTATGATATAAATTTTTTAGACATTGATATAAATTTGATAATTTATTATAAAATTTTGTTAACTCTCGATATAATTTTGATAACATTTTATATAATTTTAGTAATTTATGATATACTTTTTGTAATTATTGATAAAATTTATGCCATTATTTTTCTAACAATTGATTCCCGCAACAAAGCACATGTTCTATTCTAGTATAAAATATATTTTTTTATATAATAACATTATTGTTTCATTCAAATTTAGAAATTGTTCACTAAATTATTTTATTGAATATGTTCATTACAGATTTATCTTAGCCTCCTAAGATGAAAGTTCTAGCTTTGTTTTTGTTAGTAACCAAAGTTCAATCCCTAACGACTTCAAATATAAAAAAATTATTAACGATTGACAATTAAATTATCATTGATATACTATTATATTATCAATGATTTACTACTAAATTATCAATAATTTACTACTAAATTATCTACTAATTGTTAATAATTTACTACTAAATTACTAATAATTTATTATAAAATTATAACTTATTTACTACTAATTTTATCAATAATTTACTTCAAAATTATTAGTGATTAATTAATTTACTACTAAATTATTACTAATTTATGATTAAGTTACTAGTGATTTACTATTACTAAGTTATCAATAATTTAGTAATATGTTATTATGCATTTACTATTATGTTGTTTTTTATTTACTACTTAGTTTTTAATTATTTACTATAAAATTATCACATATTTATATTAAATTATCCATAATTCACTATCAATTTATCATCGATTTATATTAAACTATTCATAATTTACTATTAAATTATCACTAGTTTACTTCTAAGTTATATTAGTTTACTTTTAAATTTTCAATAATTAACTACCAAATCATCATTGATTTATTATTAAATTATTTATGATTTGCTACTAAAATTATCAATTAATTAATATTAAACTAAAGCATATTTAGTGTTAAATTATCATTAATATATTACTAAATTCTCAATGATTAATAACTAAGTTATCACTTATTTTTTGTTAAATTGTTCTTAATTTAGTAATATATTATTATGCGTTTGCAACTATAAAATATAGATTTTAAAAAGTCTATTAAAAACATGAGACAATTTTTTACCTAATAACATTATTACTTTTAAATTTAAAATTTTTTACTAAAATTTCTTATTACATAGATTCATGGAAGATTTATTCTTGTTCCCAAGATGAAAGTTTTGGCTTCATTTTTGCTAGTAACTAGGGTTCTTGGGTACTTCAAGTATAAAAAAGTTATTAATGATTAACAATTAATTTTATTATTAATTTATTACTATGTTGTCTACTATGTTGTACATAATTTGCTATTAAGTTATCAATGATTTACTAATAAATTATTCATAATTTACTACTAAGTTATGAATGATTTACCATTAAGTTATGAATCATTTACCATTAAGTTATAAATAATTTACTATTAAATTATTAATAATTTACTATTAAGTTATTGAAAATTTATTATAAAGTTATAACTGATTTATTACTAATTTATCGATGACTTTATTATAAAGTTATCATTGATTAACTAATTTACTACTAAATTACCATTGATTCCCAACTAAGTTATTAGTAATTTATTACTATATTATTTGTGATTTAGTTTTAAGTTATCAATTTACTACTAAATTATCAATGATTTATTATTCTATTATTATGTATTTACTATTATGTTATCATTGATTTATTACTTAATTTTTGATTATTTACTATAAAAATTATTATCTATTTACTACTAAAACTAACTATTAAAACTTACTATAAAATTTATTATCTATTTACTTATAATTTACTATTAAGTATCAGTGATTAATTATTCTCTATTTATTTACTTTTAAATTTTTAATAATTAAATACTAAAATATCAATTATTTATTACTAAGTTATCATTGATTTACTACTAAGTTATTTATAATTTACTATTATCAATTAATTACAATTAAACCAAAACTAATTTACTATCAACTTATCACTAATTTACTATTAAGTTATTATTAATTTATTACTAAGTTATCAAATAACTAGCTACAGGTTACCACCTTTTTGTAATAAGTTATTCTTAATTTACTACTATGTTTTTATGCAGTTACAACATATTATAATTGATTTACTACTAAATTATTATACAATTACTATATGTTATTATTTATATACTACTAAATTAATAACTATTAACTACTAAGTTATCACTAATTTACTATTATAAACTATCACTAATTTACTACTAAATTATCTATGATTCACTATTAAGTTATTATTGATTAATTTTTAAGTTATCAATGATTATTATTAAGTTATACTGGTTACTTTTAAGTTTTTAATGATTAATTAATAAGTTATCAATTGTCTAATATTATATTATTGTTGATTTTCTTATATCCAAAAATGAAAACAATCACAATATATGTTATATGATGTAATTCGTAATGTAAATAAAAAAAAGTAAGAAAAAGTTTAAGTGTAGATGACTTTAAAAGCAATGAGTAAATGTTTTTAATTTATTATTCGTAGTTTAACACATAATTATAAGTTAAAATCATAATTTATTATGCTAATGCAAGTATCAAATTAAATTAAATAAATTTATACAATATTATATTAATTCAATATTTTTAAAGTATTCTTAAAATTTTTTAGTTCATGATAAAATTATATATATTAAGATAAGCTTTAATGATTATTTGATTTTACGATTCGTGTATGTATTTTCATACCTACCAATGAAGTACATTGAATAAAATATTGAAAATTTTGAAGTTTTTTGCCAACAATGAAATTAATAAACTTTACTTTATGTTTATATTTTTAAGTAAATAATTTTGATAAAAATTTTGTTATATATATGATAAAAGTAATGAGAAAAAATTACTAAATAAAAGTTATAAAAAATAAACAAACAACATTTTTTTAAAAAAATTAAGTTTACAACAATTACCTTCACATTATCTTTAAAAAAATTTATCTTATTAAACAAAAAGATGGTATATTTCTAATTGTTGCTCATTTTTGTTACTACCATTCAAAATGACTTTCTTGATATTTGATTTCAACCAACTTCTCTATTAACAAGAGTAAAAAATATTGCGATGGGTCATAAACAACTAAAATAATATTTAACTCTTTGTTATTTTCTTAAATAAGTATAAATTATGATATCTCTTTTAAATGAAATGTTTAAGTTATTTCTCTTAACTCATATGGCAACATCTTAATCAACAATTGAATAGTTATAAACTTTTTAATCTAAATTAACATTTTTGTAATACAAATTTCAAACTCCTCAAAAGAAGATATATTCTTTAATATTTGTAAAATTTAAGCATAAGAATTTTTTATTAGAATTATCGTTAATGTCTCTATAACTTTTATACTTAAATTTTCATTATGTTGTATTCTCATTTTATTTTGAAGTTTATTACTGATGTCATAAAAGTATTGCTAAAAATAACATGATTAATTAACTCAAATTTGAAATAGTTCAAACCTATAATTGAGTATACATAAAATTTTTTACTCATTTTAAATTTTAATTCAATTAAAAATTAACATAATACACAAAATTTTAAAAATGAACTAACTTAATTCGATTTCAATTGATTTTAAAAATTCAACAACTTAGTAGTTATTAAAACTTGAAATGATTGAACATAACCAAAATTTAAAATCCTATATTTTTTATTCATATTATGTAATAATTTAAAAGTTCATTATTTAAGTTTTTGTCCTTCATGTTCAATGTCTCATTTTTATTGTCTTTGTGTTTAAATTAGTTAATAAATTTTTAAGAACATTTTAAAATTATAATTATAATTATAATTATAAGTAATTGAACATATTTTTTTAATTTGTATTTAAGATAATTTGAATTCAGATGTTTAAACAAAGAGAAACATGTATCAATTTTGAGTTAAATTTGCTTAGATGGATAAGTGAATAATTGAGTATAGTAAATAAAACTAAATAGTAAAACTTGACTCAACCGAAATGATCCATGATCTTAAGTCTAAAACTCTACTTGAAATTATGAAAAAAATTAAATTATTGAAATACTAAATACATAATTAAATAAAGATTTATAAAATGAATTTTGCTAATGAATACCTTTAGTTAAATTATAATTTATAATAAAATTTTAGCTAAAATATTAAAAAAGTTCTTAAACTATTTCATTTAAAAAAAAAAACCCTTTCACTTTTATTATACCATTATAAGCCATTATCCTTTGATTTGTATTCAAATAAGTTTTTATTTCAAACCAAAAATTGATTTATGTGAAGGATTGATTTAGTTACAAATTAGAGATAAGGGGTTTATTTGGCTATAAATTAAAGTTTAAGGGTTAATATACGTGCAAATTAAAAGTAAGAGTTTATTTGGATACAATTAATAAAATTATATGGGCTTATTCAAGTAAAGTGGCAACGTTTAAGGATTTTTTTTTTGTGTGTTTTAGCCTAATATTTTTATATTAAATTTAATAGTGATAATTAATTTGATAAATTTCAATTCTTTTGAACAAATAATACCTAATATGGTAACCTTAAAATTTTTGATATAATTGTGAACATTATTCAATTGATACAATGAAGAAAATGAAAGAGTATACAATGTTTATTCTAATAAAATAGTTTCATATTAATCCAAAAAAATTTGAAATCTATTATTTGTATATTCTTTATTGAAATATCATATAATACTAACCTTATTTGTCATATAAATAAGATAAAGTTATGTATAACCAATCAATCTTTCATCTCATTTTTTGCTCGGCATAATCTTTTCTTGGTACTTTCATTGATTGAATGTAATTGTACATTTCATCAATTAAAACCTTAATTTTTTTAATTTGAAATTTTTTGTTAAATAAAAACATTAAAATACAGCATTTTAGAAATTAAAATGAAATAAAATAAATTTTTAACCTCGGTAATTTGTCATGTTTTTTCTTAAGAAAATTTTAACTCTCAAATTAACAAACTTGTTACATAGAATCTTTACAATTTATAATTATTTCTTTTTCAGTATTAACAATATAAATTTTTATAAATGAATGTAACATTGGGGCTGGGCAAAAAAGTGTAACATTAGTATAAATACATTCAAAATATGGTTTCAATTATTTTTGTTACACCTTAAAAAAAATGTCCAAAAACAATTCATTTTACTTCATTTGATAATTCTCTATTTAGAATAATTATATTAAGAAATCAATCACTTTTAACACATTTGAAGTTCACATTTTAAATATTAAAAAAATTATCTTTACCTGTACAAAATATGTTACATATATGTATATCTCTTAAAGTTTAGTGATGCAATTAATAAAGAATTTAACTAACTTTTAATATGATTTTCTAAGTTTCAATTAAATAAATTTAACTGTATATAAAAACAAATTTATAAAATAAGAACAAATAATGAAAAGAATATATGTTTAAAAGTAGATTTTAATATATGTTTAAAAGTAGATTTTTCATCAAACCTCTAATTAAATTGTAGGATACACTTATTTATTTTAAATTCCAACAAATTTAATATGAAACAAAAATCAATAATGAAATTACTAAAATAATAATGATAAAAAATAAGAAACAGGTTTAATAATAAAAAAGTTTACTAATAAAAAATTATTTAAATTAAAATTTATTAAAATTTTAATAAATGAGAATTTAATAATAAAAAAAGTTAATAATAAAAAATCATTTAAATTAAAATTTATTAACAATTTTATTAAGAGTATTTTAGTTACTCATTTTTAATACTCTAAGAATTAAATTTTTATTTAAGGTGTTTTAGTCGATCACTTTTAATAATTTTGGAGTTTACACTTTTATATATAAATAATATATAATAACATTTAGCTAGCCACTCACTTTTCATGGGAAGAAATCCATATTGACTAGATATACTAATTTTTCTTTTTAAAAAAACAATAACAAAATGTATGCTCTTTGTAAAATGTCTTACAGTTGTTCTGGCATCCAATGTTGTAAGTGTATGCAAATCGTCCACCCTGAAAGATTGCAACAAATGTTCATCTCTTGCAAAAATTGTTTTACTTGTTCCACTTGTGCCACAAACTCCGATAGTACGAACATCATCTTGCCCTATATTGAATTTGGAATTCAGGTGTTTCAATTGTGAATATGTTTGAGACAGTTTTGTCGATATTTTTTTAACAATGTCTTCAATGAAGATTGATTCATACCTACAAAAAGAAAACAAACATTTATAGTTATAAAAAAATATAGCTTAGTGAAACTGAAACTGACAATGATCTTAAATAAGTGATCAATTAAAATCTATATCTTTATTAAAGCTAAAGATTTGTTGACACATCTTTTTTTTTATTTGATAAATTACAAAAAAAAAAAAAATTAGTAAAAAAACAGAAAGAGTTATAACTACCAATTAACTGCTAGTTTAGTATTATTGGAGTCAGGTCGAGGATTCAAGGTCTTGAGTTTGAACTCCCAAAAGACGAAAAAAGAAGTTATAACTTACTGATCTTTTAAAAGCCATCCACTGATATCAGCCACTTGGGATAAAGCATCTCGCCACCTTTGCATCTTCTTTTTGTTGTCCTTACATCTCTCTTCATGCATGCCAAAGGCTTCATGAACCCTCCCTCTTTGATATTTTAAATCAGAGACTTCAACATTATAGAAAATTGGATAAACCTGATGTCCCCTTTCATTTCTCTGTTTCACAATCTCGACAAGCTCATCTAAACACCAACTTGAAAAAGCATATCCTTCTGAAAAAACAATTATTGAACCCCATGATTCTCCGATTGTTTCCAAGAGCTCGAGTGCGATGTCCTCCCCTCTTCTAATGTTGTTATCATCCCTGAAAGTGTTGATTCCATTCCGATTTAAAGCAACATATAGATGGTGCACGAAGCTCTTTCGGGTTTCTTTACCTCTAAAACTCAAGAAAATGTCGTATTTCCATGGATAAATGGAAGAAGATGACGAAGAAGACATAGTCAACATTGTAAGGAGTAGGAGGAGGATAACACGGTAACTTGCAGTGTTTGAAATAGTTCTGTTTGTCTTAAAATATAGCCTAATACACCCACAAACAAACTTAAGAAAGTCAAATTTTGATCATCAAGAAATTAAGAGAGGAACACATCAACATATTCCAATAAAGAAAGTAAAATAATTCATGTCAATAGTCTATCCTTAATAATTCTTTTTTTTTTATCACTTTGAATTTATTATTAACTTTTTTTATATAGAATAGTGAAGGTATAAAATTTGATTTCGTTTGATTAGAAATGTATTTCATATAACGAAATTTGAATTATAAATATCATTTTCAATATATTTTTTACATATTATTGATTTTCTCATTCCAAGTAAAGGATGATTCCCTCCCTGCTTTCTTCTTACAACCTATTACAGTCTAACTCTTGATTCTTTTTGGCCTTTAAAGGGTAACTTCCTTTTTTTCAACCCATATCAGCAAAACCATCTGCTCTTAAAAATGAAGAACAAAGTAAGCATATTACCTAAAATTAAGGCCTAGAGTAAATTTTGCTTTTCTTATGTATGGCGTGGGAGATATTGAGATCCATCAACTGCCAACAAGACTTCCATATAATTATTGTTAAACAGTGGGGGGAAAATGGAAGTTCTAAATATCACATCTCCAAGACTCACACAAGGTGAGATCTCAAACCTGAGAACATTTGATCCCATAATCCTAGAGGCCATCTTAACACCGGTAAGATTTTGAAGTTTCTGTTGATTTTCAGTAATACGCAGTAGTACTATTATAATTAAAGCTAAATGGAATGATTTTATCACAACTGTTCATCTTGCTTGACCAAATATTAATGTTCCAAACAATATCATATAAAATCATCTTAACAATGTTTTTAACAAAGTTAAAATACTGTCATTGTAATTTGTAAAGTCAACATCTTAGGAAATTGGAAATAACTGAATTGAAAATTACCTGGTAATTTGAACCCCTTTGATAGCTTGACACTTCTGCAAGACCTCGAACAGGGAAGAAAAAGCAGTGAAGAAAAAAAGGGTTGGCAGATAGCAAGAAGCAAACTTCCTTGTAACTATAGAACCCTGGTAGAAGAAATATTTAAGGAGCAAAGAAGTAGTTAATTGGCTACTGGTAAAATGAGGTGGAAGTCATCTTGATTGATCACTAAGGTAATCTTATTACTAAAATGATCTTATCATTTGTGATCTGTAATCATTTTTTTTTTGTTAAGAACCATTAATTCTTAGTAATTAAAGATTATTGTATTTGGTATTACTAAAAATCAATTTTTTTTTGTTTCAAAGCATCAAAATAACCATTCATATTATAATAACTACACAAGTTAATGATTTCAATATTATTTAAAGATAATAATTTGTAAATAAAATATTAATAAAAACATAATAAATATAATTAAATTATTAAAGTAAAAATATATTATCAGTGATCTAAGATCACCACCACATAAGATTATTAAGTGGTTACTAAATATGTTGAACTAATCACCATGCACAGATTACCGTGATATTTTTAGTGATTACCTCATACCAAATATTATCTAAGAGCTCCTTAAAATATATTATATAAAAACATATAAATATATTCTATATAAAATATAAAACAAACATAAAAACTAATTTTAGAAAATCTTTGATGGCTACAACCATGTATAGAAGAAAAAGTTTATTAAGGCTATTTATATTAAATATTCTCAAAAGTATTATTTTTTTGATAGGATACTCTCTAAAATATTTTTTTGATATACTAAGTTATTTGTTTGATAAGCCTGTAATGTTTAACTCAAGTCACTAAATTTTGGTGCGATTTAGATAAGAGATCTTAAATTCAATTTTAGTACTAAAAATTTGTTTCTTAAAACAAATAAGTTATTTTAGCAATTTCTTTTAATCAAATTAATGTACTATTGCATTGAATGTTTTATATAGGTTAATATATAATTAATATATAAATGTATGTATGTATGTATGTATGTATGTATGTATGTATGTGTGTATGCAAACATGTTCAATTATAAAATAGTTTTTATGAAAGTATAAAAGTAAAAATTGGAAGCAACAATGTTTTCTAAAAAAGCCAAAAGCATTGGAAGCAATTAAGCATGGGAAGAAATAAAACGGATTTTATCAAAAAAAAAAAAAGTTTAGTGAAAACGAAAAAACAAATTAATATTTCAAAATGCACATATGTAAAGATTTGGTATTGTTTGATAAACTGAAATTTTCAATATTGAAAAATTAAGTGTGAAAATTTGAATTTTGGAAATAAATTTATACTAAAATATAATTTGGTATGTTTTTAAAAATTAAATATTGAATGGATATTATCTTTAATTTTTTGTAAAAGTAAAATGTGATTTTATTAGGATTTAACATTAATTAAATTTCCTTAATTTCCAAAAACATTAACTAAAGCTAGAAAAGAAATAACACATAATAGAAAGGAAAATTATATAATTACTGAAATAAAATTATAAAAATTTCCTTAAATAACATTGTTGAATATATTAAGAAGGTTTTACCTACTTCATATTTTTCAGCATTTTTCAAAAAAAAAAAATTCCTTTAAATGGTATCGTAAGTAAGTTATCAAACACATCAAAGAAATTGAAACAATAAAAATTTAATTAATTTTCAATTGTGCAACACTAACTTGAGGTAAAAATTTTGAAAAAAAAAAAACAAAAATTAAAGAATATTTATAAAAAATCAATACAACCAAGTGACAGTATTGAAAAGTTTTTAGAAAAATTGGAATAGTCAGAAATAATTATTCTAGTTGAATTTTCATAATATCAATGTATTTATTATATTATTAAAAAAAATACAAATTATGTGTATTGATGATTGTTTATGCAAGTGACAATGCTGGACTAGCAATAATAAGGTGATGAGTTTATGAAAAAATTCTCTTTCCACTAATTTATTTAAGGATAAAAAATGCACCTTCACCTAAATTTATTATTGATATTTGTTTAAATCATTTTATTTTTTAATTAATTTTTATTTATTTTCACATTCAATTTAAAATCATTAAATTTCAATTATGAATTTAGGTGAATATGCATTATTGGCCATTTGATAAATTAGTGAAAACTTCTACTTTTTAAGTAGTGGAAAAGATCTTTTCTTGTGAGTTTAAGTATGTATAATGATACATATTAATGCTAATTTATACACATCCTTAAAAAAAATGCTAATTTGCAATTCCATCCTAAAGTCATCTTTTTTTATTAAAATTTTAGAGAACACATTCATCTAAATTGAATCGGAGACAGTGGCAAAGAGTTGTAAATTAAAACACAGTTGACATTAAAAATAGTTAATAATATTTTAGAGATTATTAAGATCAAGAGTGATTAGGTTATTTTATTACAAAAGTTTTATAAGTAAAGGAAAGAAACAAATATATATATATATGTATATAAAAGATGTTTAATAAAAAGAGAGAAAAAAAAACCAAAAAAGAAATTTTGAATGAACATATATAAAGAATAGTTTCATGAATTGAAGATTCTAATATTAAAAAAAATTAAGTGAGAAAATTTTAACTTTGAAAATATATTTACACTAAAATATCATTTGGTATATTGTTGAAAATTTAATATTGAATGTAGTTTGTCTTTAAGTCTTTTGTAAAAGCAAAATATAATTTTATTGGAGTTTAACATTAATTAAAGTTAAAAAAGAAATAACACATACTAAAAAGCAAAAATTATAAGATTATATAATTAAATTATAAAAATTTCTTTAAATAAAATTGTTGAATATATTAAGTAGGCTTTATTATAATAAAAGTTTGGTAACTTATTATATAATTTTAATAAATTTTGATATTATTTTATTAATTTATGATATAATTTCAATAACCATTGATACAATTTTAGTAAGTTTTGACAAAATTTTTTGTAATCATAATATAATTAGGGTAATTTTAAATACAATTGAGATAACTTATGCTATAATTTTGGTGACATTCGATACAATTTTGGTAAGTTTTGATATAATTTTGATAACTTTTAATAAAATTTTAATTTTGATAACCTTTTATATAATTTTAATTTTAAATACCTTTGATATAATTTGATAACCTTGGCTTTTATATAATTTTAATTTTAAATACCTTTGATATAATTTGATAACCTTGGCTATAAGTTTGATAATCTTTGATAAAAATTTAGTAATCTTTTATATTATTTTGGCAATATATAATATAATTTTACTAATCATGGATACAATTTTGAAACTTTTTATAAAATTTTGATAATAACTTATTAATATAATTCTAGTAACTTTTAATACAATTTTGAAACTTTTTATAAAATTTTGATAATAACTTATTAATATAATTTTTGTAACTTTTAATATAATTTTGATAACTTATGATATAATATTTGTGATCATTGATAAAATTTTAGTAATATTTGATGGAATCTTAGTACTCTTGGATACAATTTTAATAAACTTTTATATTATTTTGATAAGTTTTTATATAATTTTGATTTTGATAACTTTTGATTAATTTGATAGCCTTTGTTAAAAGTTTTATAATTTCTTATAAAATTTTGATAATATTCGATACAATTTATATAACTTTTGATATAATTTTGATAACTTTTGATATTATTAATATAATATTTAAGCAAACTAATCTTATGTATATTTAACTAACATAGTATTTAAATCTTAATCTTTAAAAGTTAAATTAAAAGAATATTAACTTTGTATAATTAAGAGTGAAATACTTTTTGTCACCGAATTTTTCAAAGTCTTTTGTTTGGATAACTAAATTTTAAAAAATATCAATTACATCATCAACTTTTATAAGCGTTAATATTGATTATGCAACCATTAAAAGATAACGGATATTTCACTTAATATTTCAAATAATCACCTTTAAAGCAAACTTTACAGCGCCAAGCTACTAGGATTAGAAGACAAAATCTGGTTCTGTGGGGGAA